TTTATTTATTTATTTATTTAAGAGAAAGAGAGAGAGAGGGCACACACACATGCAGGGGTAGGGGCAGAGGGGGAGGGAAAGGGAAAGAATCCCAAGCAGACTCTTGCTGAGAATGGAGCCTGATGTGGGGCTCGATCTCATGATCCCAAGATCATGACCTGAGCCAAAACCAACAGTCCAAAGTTTAACTAACTGAGCCACGCAGGTGTCCCCAAATTAGGTATTTTTTATTTATGTACTTAGTGTCTATCTCCCCTCCTAGAGGGCAAACTCCATGCGAGCAGGAAGGCTATTTCCCCACAGCTAGTACAATGCCTGTCACAATGTCTACTTAATGAATTAAAGAATGAAGTTTACGGTTTGGCTCCACATAAGGTACTTCACATCTCCGACCTCAAACACCCATTCTTTATGGAGATAACTACCTCCCTGGGTCAGAGGGAAGGTGGGAAAGATACAAAGAATGACTGAAAAATCACATACAAGAAGAATTCACATGGCTGACAACATCCATAATCCCCTGATCTCCTCAAGGCTTCAGAGTTCTCTTTAGGCACTCCTTTGCATTTCCTCACTTGATCTTCATAACAACTCATGAGGCAAGAAGAGCCAAGGATTATTTTCTCCCTTTGATAGTTAGGGAAACAGGCCCGTGGAGGAGAAGGGTCACTCCAGATCACATGACTAGAGGGCAGAGCCAGGACTGAAACCCAGGACTCCAGAGTCCTAGGTCAGCTCAGTCCTTCTGCAGACACCCCGATTCTTCCCTTGACCAGCACCAGACCTAAGAGTCCCTGAAGTGGGCCCCAAACAGAAGTGGTGGAAGGCCCTCTCCCACTCATCTCTTCCCACAGGCCTCCAGCGGTTGCTTGGCAACCAGCACCCAGCAGTAAATGGCCTCTAGTCAGGTCTGTTGCTCTGGAGTTACCAAGTCTCTCTCCCTTCACACCTGTGCATGCTCTCACTCTCTATTAATGAGATTTCTCCCCTACCCCCACCTCCCCAGTAAGATTCTCTTCTCTGATCCACAATAATTAACCTCTCATGAAACAGGGGGCTCTCAGGGACCTATGTAGCCAAGGACCCCAGGGAACAAAGCACTACCAATACCTTCATCATCCAACACCCTTCAGAGATGAGAGAAACTCCTTTCGTGAATGGTCCTGCTCAGCAATGCTCAGAACCTCCTCTTGTTCCCTCTCCCCACCTTCCACCCTGACAATGGCTTTCTGAAATCCCAAGAGATCAAACTGGCTGGAGAAATTTAATTGAACACTTCAGACAGCGCCTGTCCTGTTCCAGCACTCCTGGAACCACAGGTGGAAAACCTGGGAAGGGACCCAGTCAGCCTTTGCGTATGGATTAGAGCACAGAAAAAAAGGAACCTAACATTTATTGTGTTCCTAAAACATGCCAGGCACAATACTATGTTATCACATGTAGCCCCCCATCGACAAATCTGCAAACCCTCATTTCCATCCCTTAGGTCATTTTGTCACTGTCTTACTATTATGTTCCAAATGCTGTATTCTCCCAAAATTCATACATTGAAGCCCTAACCCCAATGTGGCTATATTTGGAGATGGGGATTCTAAGTTAGAGATTAAGGTTAATTGAGGCTGTAAGAGTGGGGTCCTGATCTGATAGGATTAGTGTCCTTATAAGAAAAGACACCAGAGAGCCCACTCACTCCCCATATATAAGCACCAAGGAAGGGCCATGTGAGCACACAGCTAGAAGGTGGCCACCTGCAACCCTTGGGGAGACCTCTTCCCAGACATCAACCTAGCTGGCACTCTGATCTTGGACTTCCAGTTTCTCGAACTGTGAGAAAATAAATTTCTGTTGTTTAAGCTACTGAGTCTGTGGTATTTGTTACCACAGCCCAAGCAGACTTAATTCAGGTCCTTTGTAACTTACCCAAACCACTGGCTTCCTTGCCTTGCTTCCATCTATCCTCCAAACCGAAGCAAGGGATTTTTCTAAAATGCAAATCTGACCTTGATAAAACCCTTCTATAGCTCCCCACTGTCTGGCAACGGTCTCCAAATTTAAGCCCCTGTAGGTAAGGCCATGTGAGCACATAACCACAATATTTGTATATTTACTTAGATCATATGTACATATATACCTACTTCTGTACACAAAAGATGTTAAAATACATAAAAATGATATAACTAATATTTCAATGTTTACATTTTAATGCATTTATGAACAGTACAGACTTTTTTTTGCTATAGGAAAGCACACATGCACAAAATCTCTTTGCCAATTTTTTTTTTAGCAAAAGCAATGTGATTGACTATGTCAGATCTAATTAGATCATCATCGATTTTACCTCAAAACATCCCTGACAATGAACTTGTGCTGGGAGTCAGAGAAACATCAGTTCAGCCATTTTCCGTGCTCATTGGGCTCACTATACTGAGTATAGTCTTCAGGCAGAGGTTTCTTTGCAGGACACTTTTTTTTTTTAATTTTTATTTATTTATTTATTTATTTGAGAGAGAGCAAGAATGAGAGAGAGAGAGCACATGAGAGGGGGGAGAGTCAGAGGGAGAAGCAGACTCTCCATCCTGGACTCCAGGATCATGACCCGAGCCGAAGGCAGTTGCTTAACCAACTGAGCCACCCAGGCGCCCTATTTGCAGGACACTTTTAAAACCACATATCCATCGTGAAGGTTTATTTAGTTAAATAAGGGTGGTATAATCAATAAATCCACTGCAAAAGCTCACAACGGCTGAACATAAATGAAGGAGTGAGGGAACCACCCCTGCCAATCCCTTAGAAGGTCAGAATGTCTTCCCCTACTGGAAGACTTTCTGAATTCAAGATATGTGACCATGTGATGTGGAATGTCAATCCACATAAGAAATATTAGTAAACATGCATTTTATGTTCATAGATAAAAATAAATTCTAATAGCTTCTTCAGCTCTCTCAACAATTATCAGGTAGGTAAACCCTGGCCCATGACAAGAAACTTCTGTTTGCTGTGCAAGTTGTCCCTGACCCTCAAGCTGCTGCCTGATAGCCTCTCCAGCAAATTTCTCTCTCAGCACCCCTCCCAGCTCTCCACAGCCTTGCTCCAGTTACCCTGTATTACTCACCATGCCCCAATATCCTCTGCTCTCATCTCTCTGTGCACTGGCTATGAAGAGGATGCTAGACCACACAACGGGAAGCACTTGGCACATAATAGGTACTTAATAAATGCTTACTAATTCTCACCATGAGATGGGCAAACCAAATGGTAGTTAAACCAAAGTGGTTCTTCAATTTTAGCCTGCCTCAAAGTCACCTGGAAGGCTTGTTATAACACACACATTGTTGGGCCATAGCTCAGAATTTCTTATTTAGTGGGTCTCAGGAGGGGCGTGAGAATTTGCATTTCTAGAACTGCATTTCTAACAAATTCCCAGGTAATGCTGGGACTAAAACCACACTTCTAGAACCAATGAACTTAGTAGTCTGTTTAGCTTCTTACATTTCTAATAACTCATAATTCCTCAATACTTTTAAGAGAGACTAAATGAACAAAATAAACTTTTATCTCCATATAAATTTATACTTAACTATCATAAATGGAAGTATGGGCTCTGCAAGACTTTACATGCACAGTGTAGAGAAAAGAACATGTAACTTGGAATCAGAAGGTCTGAGTTGGAATTCCACTTTGCAACTGTGTGTTCGACCTAAGGCAAGTTAATTACTGAGTCTCAGTTTTTTTCTTCTGTAAAATAGGAGTGAATTAAAATAATATCTGCCCAGGGGGTTAACTGTAAGATAATATATGGAGATAATTTATAAAAAGAAAAGTATTGTATACAGCCAATAAGATATATGCATAATGTATTGATGTACATTTAACAAGCTGAATGGAGAGATAATAAATAACACATGCATTGAATACTTTAAATCACTAATTTTCAAAATTTCCAATCCTGGTACTAATTCATTATTGAAAAGTATATGATCTACATTTTGCTATATCATCTCATATATATATATGATATATGTAGATATATATATATATTATTAGTACCACTGTAGTAATAAATTGGTAGTAAATACCAATAATAATAGCTGTGGTTTCCAACTTCTAAGATGGTCCCCAATGATCCTTACCTCCCAGGATTCATACCCTTGTTTACTTTCCTCCTACACTGAATCAGTGACCAACAGACTACTCTAAGCCTAAATAATAAGAGACATTGCCACATTCTCTCTGGTTTCTTGGCTCTCTCCTCCTGGGGGACGCCATGAAGATACTTAAGCAACTCCAAGGACAGAACCACATGGGAAAGAACTAAGGCCTCCTGCTAACAGCCAATACCTGATATACATGAGTAAGCAGCTTTCGAAGGGAAGGGATCCTCCAGCCCTACTCAAGCCTTCAGATGACTGCAACCTGAGCCAGTATCTGGCTGCAACCTCCTAAGAGGCCACAAGATAGAAACCAAGCTACTCCCAAATGTTTGATCCACAGAAACTGTGTAATAATGAACTATTGTTGTTTTAAGCCATCAAGTTTTGAAGTGATTTGTTATGCAGTGATAGATTATGAACACAGGAGCTAACATTTACTGTGCATTTACTACGTTTCAGGAACTATACTAAGAACAAACAATCCTACGATGTAGATGCTATTATAATCCCCAAAGAGGAAAAGGTAGCCTAGAGAGGTTAAGTAATTTAGTCAAGATTCCATGATTAATAAGTGGCAGAACTAGAAGTTGAATCCAAATTTCTAACTCCAAAGCCCAGATTCTTGGTCACTCATGTGTATGGGCAGGATAAAGCCTCTTAGTTAAGCAGCAGAATCAAATGAGCCCCCAGAGGAGAGAAACTTCTATAAAATCAGCAAGGGGCAGTCCAGGGGCCAGACCTTCAATAGCACTGGTGCTTGATGTCATAAGACCCAGAAGTTCCAAACTGGCACCCACCTCCCAGCCCTTATACTAGCAGACTAGTCACCCCAAGATGCCCAGGACTCACCCAGATCTGCAGCTTCACTCGTTTTTCATGGCGGTAGACTGTCTTCACCTTGAAGTCAATGCCCACAGTGCTGACGAAGGCTGGGGTAAAGGTGTCGTCAGCATAGCGGAAGAGGAAGGAAGTTTTGCCAACGCTGCTGTTGCCAATGATGAGCAGTTTGAACATGTAGTCAAAATTCTGGTCGGAAGCATCTTTGACTCCAGCTTTACTATCGGTCACGGAAGCCATCTGTAGGAGACACCTGTGGTCACTCAGGAACACACCTCCAGTGTCACCAATCTTTAATGGTCACTCCACCATTCACAAACATACTCTCCACCCAAGCATGACTGAAGAAACACACACACCACAGAATCACCCCAGTACTGCACCTGCTCTCTCAAAGGTTGTCTCAGGATTGGGGTGAAACCTGGTTCCTCCCATTCATTCCTTCTGCAAATATTTACTGAGCATGTTGCTCTGGGTCAAGCCCTGTGCTGGGTATAGGGACTACAAATATGTATCAGACATGGTGTATGACCTCCGAGTGGCCACAGATTAGAGTGAAAAAGCATGTAAACACAGGGTAACAAGTCAGTAGATAAGTCATAAGACGGAGGGAAGCCTTGGCCCAGGAAGCCCACAAGAAACATCTGACATCTAACCCAATTTGAAGGCATGATGGTCAAGGAGAGTCTCCCATAGGAGGCAGCTCCTGAGCCAAGTTTTGAAAAGAAAAAGCCAAAACAGTAAACACATGAATATTCCAGGAAAGGCTCAGCACAGGGCTATCATTCCCGTTTCAAAATCATTCATGGCTCCCTATGGCTCTAAAGATCAAGCCCAAACTGTTTAACTTGACAAAGAACCAACTAACCAAAGAATAAACTCTCTAAACTTTATCTTCCCCTAGGCCTTCTCCCTACCAATCTGTGCCACTTTTATACCAAATTACGCTTTAAATATGCCATGTTATTTCTTGCTTTGTCCCTTTAGACATGCATTCTTTCTGTTCACAACACTCTTCTAATAAACTCCTCTTCATGCTTATAGATCCAAATGAAATCTCACCTTTCCTGTGCATAGCAGAGGTATACATGCACTCCTGCCTCTATGCCCCCAGAGCACACTAACAGCACTGGTATCATTTCACAGCTGTTTACTATTCCAGCTCCTCCTTCAGACCAAGTATCTTGGATCTAATGTACTTCATTTCTGAAGTACATCTCTAGCCTCTAGCACAAATCCTAGTACATAATCAGCACTCAGTAAATGTGTGCTGGATTAATAAAAGTTACCTCATCCCTCTGGGACTCAATCTTATCATCTGGAAAATGGAAAGGACAATTTCTGCCCTGCTTTTCTTACAGGGCTGTTACAGGACTCAAATGAGATAACAATAAGTAAGACCTTAATAAACTGATAAATCCCACACAGCTGTGAACATTAGCCATTATTGTTCCAAATCCCTTAAAGCCTCGATCCTTTATTTATTTGCTCACTCATCCATTCAGCAAGTATTTATTTATGTGCCACGCCTTCCCTGAGATCCCAGCTCTCTCAAACCTGCCACCTTTCCTAGAACACTTTGGATCTGAACCCCATAATCCAGCACTTGGTCCCATAGTCCTATTGGAGTAGCAGGTGCCCTACTTCTCCACCTGCAATCTCTCCTTATGCTCAACACTGGGTTCTTGGACAGGTGTGTAAGTGATCAGAAGAGGGTGGGAGGACAGCCCTCACATGAGATAATGTCCAGGGTATCACTGTCTTTAGAAATTCCTGTTTTAGAAGGAAATAGTCAACAAAATCAAAAGACAACAGTCAGAATGGGAGCAGATATTTGCAAATGACATATCAGATAAAGAGCTAGTATCCAAAATCTATAAAGAACTTATCAAACTCAACACCCAAAGAATAAGTAATCCAATCAAGAAATGGGCAGAAGATATGAACAGACATTTCTCCAAAGAAGACATACAAATGGCCAACAGACACATGAAAAAATGCTCCACATCACTCACCACAATGAGATACCACCTCGCAGCAGTCAGAAAGGCTACAATTAAACAAGTCAGGAAATGACAGATGTTGGCGAGGATGCAGAGAAAGGGGAACCCTCTTACACTGTTGGTTGGAATGCAAGCTGGTGCAGTCACTCTGGAAAACAGTATGGAGGTTCCTCAAAAAGTTGAAAATAAAGCTATTCTACGACCCAGCAATTGCACTACTGGGTATTTACCCCAAAGATACAAATGTAGTGATCCAAAGGGGCACCTGCACCCCAATGTTTATAATAGCAGTAATGTCCACAATAGCCAAACTATGGAAAGAGCCCAGATGTCCATTGACATGAACGGATAAAAAAGATGTGGTATATATACATAGTGGAATACTACTCAGCCATCAAAAAATGAAATCTTGCCATTTGCAACGACGAGGATGGCAATAGAGGGTGTTATACTAAGCAAAATAAGCCAGTCAGAGAAGATAATTATCATATGATCTCGCTGATATGTGGAATTTAAGAAACAAAACAGAGGATCATAGGGGAAGACAGGAAAAAATTAAAACAAGATGAAATCAGAGAGGGAGACAAACCAGAGACTCTTAAGCATAGGAAACAAACAGGGCTGCTAGAGGGGAGAGGGGTGGGGGGATGGGGTAACTGAATGAAGGACATTAAGGAGGGCATGTGATGTAAGGAGCACTGGGTATTATATGCAACTGATTAATCACTGACCTCCACCTCTGAACCTGATAATACATTATATGCTAATTAATTGAATTTAAATTAAAAAAATTTTAATTAAAAAAGAAAAAGAAATTCCTGTTTTTGTTCCTCAAAGGAAAGATTTTGACTGGTGGATTTAGCTCTATATGCCTCTCAGGTGAGCTCTAAGGACAAGGAACTGACGAAAATTTAAAGCTCTCTTGCAGAAAGGTCAGACAAATATGTAGGATTATTAACAGCCCTTTAATGATGTAGGAAAGACGTTAGGGTTTGAAGCCGACGGCCGAGAAATAATTTTTTTTTAAGATTTTATTTATTTATTTGACAGAGACACAGCGAGAGAGGGAACACAAGCAGGGGGAGTGGGAGAGGGAGAAGCAGGCTTCCCGTGGAGCAGGGAGCCTGATGCGGGGCTCGATCCCAGGGCCCTGGGATCATGACCTGGGCCGAAGGCAGACGCTCAACGGCTGAGCCACCCAGGCGCCCAAGAAGGAATTCTTGAGACGTCTTTGGTGCAAAAAGGTGATTTTATTAAAGCACGGGAACAGGACAGGTGGGCAGAAAGAGTTGCTGCACCGGGGTTATGAGGGGTGGCTGATTATATACTATGGGGTTGGGGCGGTAAGGAAAAGGGAGGTTTCAAAAGAACTTTCGTATGCTAAAGAGGACCTACAAGGTAATGGAGGCCTTGCCATTGTCAAGTTAAGGTTGTTTTCCCCTCTAGCAAGGTATTAACATTGATAGTTGGGAGATTCCTGGAAGAACGTCACACTGTCCCACCCAAGAGTGGGGGAGGGAGGTTGCAGGGTGTCAGCTTGTGCTTTGTCTTCTGTCACCCTTCTGCTCTCTCATCCAGAGAGGATTGGGAGGGGCGCCTGGGTGGCTCAGTCATTAAGCGTCTGCCTTCAGCTCAGGTCATGATCCCAAGGTCCTGGGATGGAGCCCCGCATCGGGCTCCCTGCTTTGCAGGAAGCCTGCTTCTCCCTCTCCCACTCCCCCTGCTTGTGTTCCCGCTCTCGCTGTGTCTCTCTCTATCAAATAAATAAATAATTAAAAAAGCGAGAGAGAGAGAGAGAGAGAGAGAGAGAGAGAGAGAGAGAGAGAGAATTGGGGAGGGGTGGGGCTAAGTGGGCCTTTTGCCCTTAGCAAAGTGTCAACATTGACTTAGAGGCAGTTGAGCCCCTTGAGGAATGTCACTCTGCCTGTTTCATGGACTTGTCAATGGGTTGTAGGTAGTAAGGAAATTTAATAATTTTTCTTCTGCCTTTGTTCCCCACATCATTTAATATGCCACCAGTAGCCTTCAGTGGCCTCTGTTCTTCTTTCTCTTTTCTCCCAGCTCTCAAGCCTTTATCTGAGACCCTCAGTCCCATTCCTATATCAATCTGCCCCATGACAACACTCACTAGTGGGTGTGGAAAATGCCCCGGACACTTGGACATGTGGAGCAAATACATTGAAGATGAAAATGAGATTGGAGGGGAGGATGCCACTGCTTGCTTAAACTGTCTCATAGACCTAACTTTTCAGCTTTTCAAAGAAATTACACTTTTCTTCTACCTAAAACAAGGGAAGCAACCACAACAGCTTCATACCATCCTCTCCTCTGCTGCCAGTCATTTTTGTTTACAAGAGGGAATTTCTGCTTTGAAAGTATATATTCAGGGCGCTTGGGTGGCTCAGTCAGTTAAGCGGCTGCCTTCAGCTCAGGTCATGATCCCAGGGTCCTGGGATGCAGGCCCGCATCAGGCTCCCTGCTCGGCAGAGAGCCTGCTTCTCCCTCTCCCTCTGTCTGCCGCTCTGCCTGCTTGTGCTCTCTCTCTCTCTCTCTCTGTTAAACAAATAAATAAATAAAAATCTTAAAAAAAAAGTATATATTCATTATAAAAAATTAGAAAAGAACACAAGACACTCCATCCACTCAGAAACTGCCATTGTTAACATTTAAATGTATTCCCTCCCTTATTTTCTTAGGCAACAAAGTACCATCTGTTTTTAAATTATATTTTATTAGTTGTTGATTTAAAAAGTAATACATACATTGAAAATAATTCAAACTTTTACTGTTTGCAAGCATTATCTTATTACCATCTGTAGCTGGCATTATTTTCTTAATTTTTTCCATAAAAAATAAGTAATATGTAACCTAAAGGTTTATAGTGAAAAGTTAGTCCTGCTTTCACCCCTGATTCCAAGCCTCTGTTCCTCTCCCCAGAGACAAATATGTTACCAATGTATGTATCCTTCATCTAGTCTTTGCATATACAAACATAGAGGTCTGTTTATACCTTTTTTTTTTTTTAAAGATTTTATTTATTTATTTGACAGAGAGAGACACAGCGAGAGAGGGAACACAAGCAGGGGGAGTGGGAGAGGGAGAAGCAGGCTCCCCGCCGAGCAGGGAGCCCGATGCGGGGCTCGATCCCAGGACCCTGGGATCATGACCTGAGCCGAAGGCAGCTGCTTAACCAACTGAGCCACACAGGCGCCCCTGTTTATACCTTTTATCTATATC